TTTAGTTTAGAGAAAAGCAAATTATGTGCATCTGCCAGATGAATACAGTAAATTGTAGCTACTTCACAGGTGTTCAAGTAAATTTTAGAATATTAAGTTCATAGCTACTGCTGAAATAATGCTTATTATTCAATCATACAAAATACTATATTAGTAATGTATAGTATCATATTTTTTTTTTTTTTTATCAAGTTACAACAATGATAGAATAAATAAAAGCCTAGTCATTTGCAAAAGTTTGTGTAAGCAAGCTGAGATTAATAAACCTCCAACATCTGAACCGTTTGGTCCGTGTGAAGCGCTGACCCAGAGCCTCACTGCCTGTTCTTCTTGTTCTTGTTATTCTTGTTACCAAAATTATAAAAACTTTTAAAAGCATCCAGCGTCGCCAGATTTGAACGGACGTGCATGAAACTTTGTACACATAAACTAGAGGTGATTTCCAACAAATGTTCATTGCCCTTTTTTTAAGTTTGTCCCCTGGGTTCACCCTACATCTACAAAACAAAACAAGGGTTTCAAACTTTAAAAACATCCAGCGTCGCCAGTTTTGAACTGATGTGCAGGAAATTTTGTACACATAAACTAGAGGTGATTTCCAACAAACTTTCATCACCCCTTTTTTAAGTTTGTCCCCAGGGTTCACCCTACATCTACAAAACAAAGCAGGGGTTTCTAATTTTAAAAGCATCCAGCATCACCAGTTTTGACCGGATGTGCACGAAATTTTGAAATGCGTCTTGGTATTCAATTTTTTTTCCCAATTTATTTATTTCAATTTATTTTTTATTTTTTATTTTTTTTTTTGTACAAATAAACATTCTAATTTAATTTTTAAAATTTTTATCTTAATAGATCTTCCAAAATACCGTATTTAAGCATGGAGGAACACCCGGACCTGGTGAGCGGTTGCTCTTGTTTTTTCAAATATCCAGTAGCAAGTAATATACTATTCAATTTTTTTTCAAAAATAAGACTTTGTTGTGCTTTATAAACTATAGTCTCCCAATAAACTACAGCTCAATTTCAACAACACAGGATGAAATTAGTACCTTAGGCATTGGAAGGCAAGCATCTTAACCACAAAACTACAGTTTCACGTTCCTTTTGGTACAGTAGTGTCACAGTAGCATTTTACTCCCTAAGCCTCGTTATGAGAACCTACAGTACAACCAGATATAATGACAAATGATCCCCTTTACACCATGAATCACCCTCATTACTAGAAGGTTCCATCTCTGATTCTATAATTTTAACAAATTATATATTTTTAAAATCTTTTTGATCCTAATTATCTTACTAGAATATAATTGAATTTAATTTATTCCATGTTGAGAAAACAATGGTTCCATCTCTGATTCTATAATTAAAAAACTATATATTTTTTTAAAACCTTTTGATTCTAATTCTCTAAACTAGAATTTAATTTATTTCAGGTTGATCTTAACAATTTATTTCATATTGATCAGTTAACATGTATACAGTACTTGTAGAACTTAAACAACAGCATTACCATCTCATTCACTGACATGAATAATCATATGTTAAACAGCCTTGTCTTCTTAATTCCATATTATAGTACAAGGGGATGTAAGACTCCAAGTAATCGTCTGACCTCTCCCTGTCTGTTCCTTATTATTTATGTCCACACACTACCCCCACATCCTTACCATAGTATACTAGCATACTGTATGACATCATGGAACAAACGATAGCAATATTGATCTACAGTATGTGATTATGAATACTGTACAGAGAAAAAATATGATAGCCAAAAAATCTTTTTAGTATCATCATTTAAAATGATAATCTTTGTTGATTAATAAACTAATCCTTAATTTTTGCTTGCGGGAGGCCGTCCTAATTTCCGGGACACTCCAAAGTCTCGAAAAGATTTGGAATGGGACCCCTGCAAACCAAAATTAATAATGATAATTTAAAACCATGCAAAATACAAGTATAATCTGAGTGAGGTGGTTTAATGGTAATTTACAATGGTAATCTAATGACATGTTACCACACAAACTGCATGGTTGAACTGCACATATAATTTTCATAATAAAAAGCTATGAATATTAAATTTATCATCACTATGGTTACCTACTGCCAGTTTAGTAAAACTACAGTATTTGATACTATAATCAATAAAGGAAAGCTATGTACTTTTCATTCATACAGTATATCAATAAAGAGCTCATTTTCCATTATTAAAAACATTCCATCAAAAAAGCTAGTTAATAAATATTTATTAGAGAAACTTACTCTCAAGCAAAGAAAATGCAGTAAACAATATTGAAGGTTAATACGAATAGCTGAACATCGATAGTCATTAAAAATACTATATGTAAAGTACTACAAAAAGAAATTATGTGCAATACTTTGTCTCATTATTGATTGTTGCAGTTAATCAAAAGACATTTTTAAACATCATCAGTGAAATAGGCGAGACTTTTTTATACCTTGCTTCGTGAACTTATTTTTTTAAAGATAGTCAGATGGCTGAAAAAAAAAAATAAATAAAATTTTGTTTTTTTATTTACCAATTAGTTTTGCCAAAAACATCCAGACGGAGGAGAAAATAAAAATAAAATTTTGTTGGTGAATGCAAACAGTGTAGTAATGTGATAGTTAAAAGTTTTGAATTAATGATTAGGAAGAAATATATATCATATTTTTTGAGATTTCAAGGCAGCTACAGGTGTAATAAAAATAAAGAAAAACTAGTATTTTTTAATGAAATTTCTGTGGCAGTGGGTGTGCTAAATATGCGCCAAAAATAAAATTTTATTTTTATTCCAAATCATCATTATTGGCAGGAGGCAAGGTCTGCTAAACAAGGTATGAAAAAGGTCTCGCCTAAGAGTGCTTGCATTTTCTGCTACAGTACTCTGATACTATTCGTCAGTATACAGTCTTTGGGAATGGTAAACAGTCAGTGAAAAATCTATCATCATTATCTATTAAAATAAATTTCTTAGTATAATAATTTTATATTATTTGTTTAAGGTTTTTCAGAAATATTCATAAATAAAATCAACAGATGGTATAAAATAATAACCATCATCATTTATGGCCATCAAAAAGAAGAAAATGAAATACACACCAATTAACATTTTTTGCAAGATAACAAATATACGCACTATGTTGATAAGATTATTAATTACTGAATGTGTGTTACAATCTTGATAGTTTCCATACTAACAATCCTCTAACATTTACAATAACAAATGTTAAGTCCTGTTGAGACTATCAAATTTTATGTGACAAAAAAATGGAGGTATTATTGAGGAGATCACTCGAAAAAGCTACGCGCACGCAGCGCTATGCAAATGAACTAAGATCTAATCTGCCGCAGCGCGTGAAGAACGTTTGCACGATGCCTTTGAAGTCCGATGCGTTCCCCACCATCAAATTTTCAGCAGGCATGTAGTTTACCAAAAAAATTGAAGATGGCAAAATGGAGAGCACCTTCTTTTCTCGATGCGCACTACATACAGTCAATCACTATGGCTGCACAATCGTTTCCATTTTGAAGCTAATAGTAATACATTTATCTCTCATAAAATATCAAACACATTAATATTTTCCACCAAAAAAAGTTTCAAATTTAATGGAACATTTACATGACCTTTAAACGCATAGTATATTTCAACTTCAATTTTCATAAATTGGCCAAAATTCGCTAATTCTAATTTTAACAGATATTAATTAATAAATGATTGAGGATTATAATAAACTAAGTCATTTTAGGGTTAACAAGGGTTAACTATTCGAAAAATCAATCCAAAATCTGAGTATTTTTCAGTTTTACGCTGACCTAGCTTTATAGTCGAACCAGTCAATCTTTAGACAGAATTATAATGAACACAGAAAACATAAATATTTTATGGAATCCGTTCCTGAAATATACAAATAATAACATACTAAAAGTCCGAAAAAAATCTAATCAGGGGAACATTGTTCCTTATAAAGATATTTAATGTGTTATAATCAAACGCTTTATTGTACTAACTGCTCTGCTGGAAGCGTATAAATGCATGTCGTTGCCAAGTTGTTGCTAACGAAAAAATGTGAATTATAGGGTAATACGCCCGCGCGCGATCCAAAGGCGGGGAACACATAGGTTTGTCGCATAGGGATCTGTTGCCGAGTGATCTCCTTCTCAATAATACCTCCATGACAAGAACATGTGACAAAAATATGGTCATGATGACATCACATCATGACCATATAGGCACATCATGACCATATAGGCACATCATGACTAAATATGGGCATATACTGTAATACAACAGTTGACAAAGAAAATTTGGTAATTGGGACAGAGCTTTCACAGACTCTCTGAACTTCTGTCCCAACCCATTGACTGACATCTTCCCTGTTTTTCATTTATCCATCTACTGTACACTAATGAGCAATTGCAATTTGAATGACATTAATTGAAATTAGGACTATTCAAAATATTGTATTTGAGGTAATTATCTACCAATGTCATGAACATACTCAGCAACAAGAATAACAAATTTTAGGCTACCATTCCATTAATGACAAAATCAGCCAATCTCACCCACCAATTTCAAGACCACTACTAGATACAACACTGATCTTACACACATAGCTGTAATCTATTTTGTATCACATTACAAACACCCTCATTTCTGGCTTGACCTGGCCTAGCCTAGGTATCCTGCTGGTTAAGAAGGAGGATGACAATCAACAACAAAAACATGATAATTTTATTCACATATATTAATATCAGTCGAAATCGAAACGATTGTAAAACTGAGACCATAACATAATTTGTAGTTGGTAAATGTAATATCGTCCAATCTAATGTATTAATGTAGTGAGGATATATTATTCATGGTATCATTACAAACTACCTAGGCTAATAATAGATGTAGTGGAGGAGCATTACAATGGTACGAGTCGACGTCCGACTTGTTCTGATCCTTCATTCAAAAAGACGATGTCGTGATGAAAAAAAGCAGAAGCCTCACCTGTTTGACCCTTGCCTAGAGTTTTCTCCAGTTTATATGGTCCCACGTATTGCATATCTCCGTTAGACATATTTCCAAATTGGATCAAGATATCTCAATTATATCATAATAAATACCATCAAATGAAAGAGGTTTTGTTGTTATTATTAAATTCCATTCGTCTATCTTCCTGATGTGTAGCAGCTTCGATCACTTTACATCGCGCATTACGCGCTTGTTAATTCATAAACCAAACTCATTATCATATCTGAAACTAATGGTTTGTGAGGGCGGGCAACACAAACCTAGTTCTAAACAAATAAAATATCCCCAGTTTAATTGTAATGATGGCAATTAAGTACTCAAAAATAATAATACGATTTGTTATTGTAAAAATATCTGAATTTTTTTGATGCTAGCTTTATCATTAATACCGTTTTTCTTATATAAATATAATCACTTTACTTATTAACACTCTACAGTATTTTTAATACAATATTAAAAGTAATGATAATTATAATGCCAATGATAATGAGAATGGTAATGGTAATGACAATGGTAATGAAAGTGGTAATGATGATGATAATTATCTTATAATTGTTATTGCTGTTGCTATCATCACTATTACTAATGCTATTGCTATTATTATTGCTATTGCTATATCTATTTTACTATTGATGCTATTGCCTTGCCCAAGGACAGGATTAAGTTCCAATTAAATGTATTATTATACTGATAACTCAAGACTAAAAGAAAAATGTTAATTGAAATATGCCATTATTGTTAAATTTATTGCTATTGCCATTGCCTATTACTAATTTATTGCTACTATTTCTATTGTCATTATTGTTAATGCTGTGAAGGGGGTGGGGGTAGGGGTGGGAGTGTTGCCTCTGTCAGTTATCATAAGGTTTATTTGTGGGTGCCCTTCCCATAAGAAGCTTGGCAGTTCTATGGGATTAATCCGTAAAAGTTCTGTATTGTGTTTGGTAATAGGCTGCACACATTCAAAAAGGACATGTTATACTTACTTTTGTTATCAATTTGATTAATTCAGTATCACCTGTATATATATGGGAAATGAGGATGTACTGTAGGCCCCCCCTTAGAGCTAATATTTGGGATAGATAATCATTTCATAATGTACTTTTATTCACTTTTCAACTTAAAATAGGACAAAAGAAATTAATATGATTCTATAGTTTTTAACTTGGGTGCTCAGTATTAAAAATATACTGTAAGTACTGTACAGTGTAAATAATTAATTTACAAAACATCATAATTAGGTCTCGTAGTCGGTGCCGTATCCGAAGCACCATAAAACACTTTCATCTCATCTGAACGCTTATTGATATAAAAGAGTTAAAATTGCAATAGGCCTGCAGTTATAAGAATATAAAGCCTAATTATTATTATGTTAACTGCATGCACGACATTCGAAGCAATGCACAAATATGATGTCAAAATTTGAGTGAGTCAGGGAACGATAAAAACAGCGCCGTCACTCTAAGGAGTTTGGATCGGGTTGAGTGTTAATTCTCGCCACACAACAAGCGAACGGTTTCGATTGGTTTCGATAGGGATGTTTACAGTGGAAACGGACAAAAGAATACAGTTTTGTATTCAATAAAGCCGTCTGTTAGTCGATAGTAAGAATATTTTATTGTCTGTAGTACATAGGATTGATCAATGTAAGATTTCTACTAGAGGGTGGCTTGGCTAGGCCTACCGTACTTCTAGCCAGGCTACTACTACTACTAGGCCTAGCTACTGCACTAGCCTAGAGTACTAGTAGGCTAGGCCTAGCTGCTGGGTAGGCCTAGCCTAGCCGAGTACTGCGCAGTGGAGTGCCAGCACTGCAGTGGTGGTGGCTAAGATAGAGACTATCAAAGTAGTACATCATTTTGATTATTTCCGAAATCGGTCAACTTTTATCGAAGTTATCAACTTTTGAAAATTTCATTAAAATTCGTCGTTTTTTCCAGAGAATTGCGAGTAATAAAGTTCAATTTTTTGATAACAAAGATTAGTTTATATATCTAAGAGTTTATTTGCCAAATATGAATGTAATACGAGGCGTAGCAATATTTTTTTTTGGCACCGCAAAACCGACAATCAGCTGTTGATCGGCTATCGTGTACACAAGGTAAACCATAACGATCTTAATGAAAGGGCTGCATATAAACGGCAATATTTTTCATGTAAATAAAATAAATATGAGTTCAAAAAGTTAACTAAATGATACTTAAAGTATTAAAATATACTTTTAGCTAATGATTATCTAAAAAAATATTAACCATAATATGATTTCAAGAGAATTGTGAGATGATGCTAGTTTTTGTTGCAAGAGGAAGACGTCAAGCGTAATAGCCAATGAAATTCGTCAATAGTCACGGGGTGAGGGGTGAGGGATAGTTTTAATTCTATTTTCAGAATTGTGGGTCAAAGGTCATCTGAAAAATTTATAAATTTTTCGGGTCGTTGTATATTAAGGCTACATGACCAATGTATTTTGGCTCATCATATCATGTCATCTACCCAAAGAAAGTTAGCCTGTACTACTACTACTTACTACTACTACTTCTCTAATAGAGTGTATTAGTAATATAGAAAAATAGGGATCTTGTTCAAGTTATTAATTAATAATATGATTTTTAATTTTAATGGGAGTGGATATTTTTCCGACAACCTTGTTCTTACATATGTCCGAATTGTTGATTGGTGAATCTGGCTTGACCCTAACCAATATTGAAACATCAGTTTTGGTGTCTTAATGCACTACTTACAAAAGAATACAGTATTCATAGTGTATTATCAGTGTTTGATAGAGTAGGGCCAACTTTATGACATATATGCCATATGATGACATTGACAAACAACAGTCCATTTAAATTGATTGGTCATGTATTAAGGAGTCTCTGTGGAAGTTGACAATTAGCCTGGGTTCCAGGCCCTAATTTTAGGTTACTTACTCTTTATTGCACTTAGTGCGCGCCATACCTTATTTAATAGGCGTCCCATACTCGATTTCTTTTTTTTCGAATTAGGGCCTGGGCAAACGATTCATGCGTGCAATTTCCCACATCAAATTTGATGTGGGATATCGTATGCATGACTGATTTTGTAAATCACGTGATTGGCTAACTTCATGCATATTAATCAATCTTGGTAAATTTTCCAAAATGGAAGATGCGGATGTCTCGACTAGAACAAGCTAACCAGCTCCCTTTTGGCTACCTATACTTGAATAAAAACAGTTAGTATATAGTTCTGGCCTGCTGAGAACGACATGGACTGATAACCGTAGGCTATACTAGTAGGAAACTTGCTCACCGCTAGCTGCTACACAGATTAGGCCTTTAGAGTAGAATATTGTTATAAAGGTAGGCCTCTGTAAGTTAGAACTTAAAAATACGCCAAGCCTCTACTAGAGTCTAGGCTAGGCCTACTACTCAGACGAGGCCTGAGCCATCCTCCTGGAAAGTTAAAGTTTTGTTGTATTTGTATGGTATGCCGTCTAGGCTTAATTCTTTTTGCCATTGCCAAAATTAGTCTTACTAGGGTCTATTCTAAATATTTTAGGCCCGTTTTATTAGGGAGGACTATTTAAATTTAGTCATGCCTAACTAGTCGAAGCGAGCTGCGAGTGACTCAGTTTCGTGGCTCCAAAAATATGAACATTTGATTGGTTGAAATTGTTTATTTCGGTCCGCCCATTTATCCAAATACGGAATATAAGATTACGTCATTCTTTTGGCATCCTGGTGCCTGACTTCAGTGTTTTACAAGTCGCTTATTCCGTCTATCTCTAAATTAACTTTCTCGTTGGTGGCGCTGTCCAGAATGAGAAAAATAATTTTTAAAAAAAAAGAGACTTGTGGCAAGTCTAGTTGACAATGTATTTGATCCTTTTTAAATGAGCATCCATATTGACAGCTCCAAGAGTCAACTATATTAAGACAAAGTGCTACGAGTTAAGATTACAGTTTCATCTTTACAAGGTACAGTAATTATGATAAAAAATGAAAATGATAGATTGATGTTTTCAAATAAAAAAATTCACAATGGACATAAGAGATAGGCTCTTTAAAATAAGTTCAGTGAACTTATTATGAACCCCATCCACAATGCATATTTTATCTGTTATAGGTACCATTTAAAATATTTTGTACCAGTACCCATTATTATTATTAAAATTATATTGTATAGTATTATTTTACTTTATCCAATAGAAGTATGCACCAGCATTTTTTAAAATCTACTTATCATAGTAGTTGAATTTTACCATAATTGTAGCATACTTAGCAGAAAGAATTATTTTTTATTTCATCTGTATGTTTATGATAATATATTTCATGTGTGGAAATTTAATAAAACAAATAAACAGTTCAGACACTAAAGATTTACCAAGATTGTCCATTAAAATGCTTTATTTTTTTATATTAAAAGTCTGTTTAATGATTTTTTTTTCTTTTGTTGCTGTACAAGCTCAAGTTATTCAATACTACTAAATATCATCATAAATTGTTGAATTTTAATTTATTTTTATTATTAATTGTTTGTTTTAATCATTATTTAGAGGTACTATTTATATTTCACCTTCTATTTATATTTCACCTTCCCTGGCCTCCCATAAAAATATCGCTTGTTTTCTTTTTTTGGATCATTAGATCAGTAAACCAAATACCGACAATTCATATTTTGAAGGTGTGACAATATTTCCTTCTTTTTTGTAGACATGCATTAAGTGGGTTTTGTGAAGCCTTGCTGTGTATATGAGTAATGAGTATGAAAGGCAGACAGAATCCTTTGGGAGATGAAGAAGATTGGATTGACGATGAAATCCAACGACAGCTAGATGCTCTTGATGTAAATGACCTTGAACATGATGAGGAACAGCCAGTCAAAGATGATGTAACTATTATAATTCAATAAATGTTTTATATTTCTAAATTTTATTTTTTATTTAATTTAATTGCATTTTCTTACATAATTTGTATTTATAAATTATCAGTCATTCATCATTTTCATCGAAATTGAATCTTGTTATTGGAATATACATCCGTTTTTATTAACCTAATAAACCTCATTAGTCTGATTAACATCTATGGATTGATTTACCATCATTTTTTAAATATGATTTTTTAATCTACTTTTTCATTTGTAACTTCCCAGATTGAGGATTTGGAAGATGATATTCCAGACACTGTGTCTGCCTACTTGCTTCGTGTTCAGAGTAGGACTGAAGGTTTTGTCAAGGAACTGGCTGAGTGTGATCAAGTCCTAAAAATTATACCAGGTAAATTCATTAATTAATATATTAACATTTTTCAAACAATTTAATTTCTTTTTTATTTTTATTATATATTTAATATATATATAATTTTTTAATTTTCTTACATTTATGGGAAAGCAAATTACACTATGGTGCTGCAGCTATAGCTCTTCTTTTCATTTTAGGATAAGGCCTCATATCCTTGAGATAATTTGTGAGTTGTCATGACAAAATGAGACTTGTGGTACAAAAAATAAAAAATGAGTTTTGATATATTTAGATAGATGACTTCATAGGCTTTATTTTGGTCTTGAAATCAGGTTTCTCACTTAAATAAAACCAGAGTAAAATCATTTGAAAATTCAGACGTTTGAAAGCATACTTTAGAGAAAATCGCCACTAAAGATAGATAACTAATACATTTTATGTTGATTTTCCTATCAATTCTGGATAAGAGCTTTACAAAATGTGCCTCAAAAACACTTTCAACTAATTTAAATCAATTCAGAACATTTGTTATTGTGAAAAATACATATTAAATATATCAGGAACATTGAAACCCTTGTCAAAATCATCATTTCATATATATTTTCTTGAATATCTCAAATTGACTTAGCATACCACAAGACACATTTTGTCACGGCTCCTCACATCCTGTTGGTTTCTGTTGATCTTTTCCTGCCCATTCATCCCTCTATAACATCTTTCAATAAATTCTCTCAATCCATTTTTTCTAATAACTGATATCATTGCTCTCTTTTCTCTACATAACTCAATACGTCTTCATTTGTAGCCTCATCAGCTATACTATCTCTATTCATTATGGTATAAACATATCTTTGAAGATTTTAAGGCTATCATGTTTGATATGTTCTGGTTTTCATTTTAAAAATCCTACTTTAGCAAACAACGAAGATTTTTATTACAATTCAAAAGAATTGAATGAACTTGCATTTATTCTTGGCGAGGACCCAGAAGAACTCCGTGACCGGGTATGTAACAAATTTTTACATTTGAACATAATGACTTGAAATCATTAAGGATTTATTTTCAAATAGATTCGTGGTCCATAAGGCGAGACTCTTTTCATACCTTGTTTAGCAAACCCGCCAACTGCAAATATTGATGATTTTGAATAAAAATAAAATTTTATTTTTGGACAATTAGCACGCACCGCCGCCACAAGAAAGTGGAAATTTCAGAAAAAAATAAAAGTTTTTCTTTATTTTAATTATTTAAAATTTGAAGCATTTAACCATTCTATTTTACATTAATCAATAAAATTGTATTTTTATTTTCTCCTCCGTCTGGATGTTTTTGGCAAAACTATATGCTGAGTAAGAAAAACAAATTTTATTTTTATTTTTATTCTGCCCTCCTCCGATAACCTTTAAAAAAATAAGTATGCGAGACAAGGAATAAAAAAGTCTCGCCTAAAATAAAATAATGGAAACATCAAAGGCAAGGAACCAGGTGCTGGCATTTTTTCAATGTTTATTAAATAATTGGATGGTCATGTTTTACTGTTTTTCATAGTTTTCTATCAATGTTTTGGCAATATTGATTGAAAATGTGGTTGCTATATCATTGTTAAGTTTTATGATCTATATTATTATTGTTTAATAATAATATATATAGTTAATACTGTAATATATTCAAAATTTAAATAATGTTTATTATTACTTTTACTATTATTATCATTGTTGATATTGCTATTGCTAATATTATTGTAATAGAAAAAGTTACCTTTCAGAGTCAATGGCTTATTTCCTTTCAGTAGCTTTCGGTACATTTGCAGTACCTTTATCAAGTATGTCAAGTATGTTTACTGATGATTATTATTGTTAATATTCTTCTGAAGATTATTCTTGTTAATATTAGGCCAAAAAAAAAACACATACCCTTTCTATAGCCATCCTTTATCCCATTGCCATTACATACCCAACCAGTGTCATTTTTGATATCCCATTCCCTTTTCATAATCTCAATTATTATTCATTTTCCAAATTTCATTTTTAATGAATAAATTTTGCTTTGAATTTTTTTGATCCCTTCCACCCATACGATCAATGAATACATATTTTTAAAGTTATACTGTCTGGAATAAATCTAGAAAATTCTCTAAAAAGCATTAAAAAAAAAAAATAAATCACCTACTTTCAACTAGACACAGATCAAAGCAATTAAGTTTTTGCTGACGTTTTACTATGAAATCACTTAAATTGATTACCAGCTAATATAAAGCCCTTTCCAGACTATCAATCTTGTTTGACAAAAGCATGTCACATGCCTAAGGGCCTACACAAAGGAACTGTATTAGGCCAAAAAAAAAAAAATATTGTGTTGGCCACACCCGACCGACCCAAATTTATGAAATTAAGGGGTCAGCATTTTAGTTTTTTTTTTTTTTGACAACAAACAATATTTTTTATGAGCAAATAAGGTTTTCCTACAGACCTACCCATTTTTTTGGATTTTCCCAAAACGTGGCCAGCACAATAATTTTTTTTTTTTTTTTGCCTTATTGTATATTGTATTATATAATTAATTGTATTATAAATATATTTGTGGATATTTATTGTTGTTAAAGGTTATAATTGAACTTGAAAATGAAGACTCTGCAGATGCACAGAATAGTAGAACCACTAACCAAAAGCAAGGGGAGGGTGAATCTTACCATGAACAGCAACATACAGACAGCTATGAAATTACAGAAGGTAAAACATATGTCTATTCTTAATTGTTAATGATTATTTTTTGTTGAAAACTTACATTATATACTGTATATAATGTTGAGTTTAGTAAACAACTTAGCAGTAGTTTTGGTTGACCTGTCATTACTGGTTAAGACAATCACCATAATCACTGTTTGTAATATTTATTTCTTTCAAAGAAAATTGTAATAACTAATACAATACCGCACTCAAAATTCACAGATCTAAAATATTCAGATAGTAAGTAACTATTATGAAAATGTTGTATTATGTTCACAACTGAGAAAGCAAAAGATAATTCTTTACACCCAAGGGGCTTGTTTCAAGTGTAGTCTTTCTACAAAACATTAGCATGTAAGTGTAAAGATGATTCATAAGAGCAAGTTTGAAGTGAAAATGTGATTTTATGGCCTTGGCCTCTGGTGGCAAGCTATTCATAGCATTTATTTTCATTTCTACTACTTGCCTTTATTTCACCAACGTATATTATATAACAAAAATATTCAATTCACTTTAAAATTTGACATTGTGCCATAGTATTTCCCAAATGTTTTAACAAAACAATGTTTATTAGTGAAGGCTTGACAACAGATGCAATAAACATGTTAGCACATGAGAAATGGCACATTTGTGACTGATTGCTCTAAATTAGTACAAATAGCAAACTACTTGTCATTATTTTTCATATAAGTAAGAATTGATGTTTGTCCAGGTTTGTCATCACAGCCAATAATACTTTACAATGCTGATATTATTTTCAGAGAATGGTAAATAAACATGTTAGCACATGAGAAATGGCACATTTGTGACTGATTGCCCTAAATTAGTACAAATAGCAAATTACTAGACAATATTTTTCATAGGTAAGAATTGATGTTTGTCCAGGTGTGTCATCACAGCCAATTATACTTTACAATGCTGATATTATTTTCAGAGAATGGTAAATTAGCATTAATACATGATGCTGACATCTTGGAACAGGCAGCTCAGAAGCAGATAAGGGAACTTGAAGAGAAACACCGAGCCAGAAACATGGTGGCACAGAAGGAACATGAAATGCAGCTGCGGACTGACGCTCGCAAAGAAAAGGAAAAGGAAGAGGTTAGGCAACAGATGAAGGAGACTTACGAGAAGGAACAACGTGAAATGGTTCAAACAAGAAAAGTAAGTTTTCTCCTTTTTATTTAAAAAAAATTGTTTTTAAACAATCTATACATTAATTCTGCTAATTGCCATCGCGTAACTTCAGCTATCTCCTCTGAAACCGCTGGCAGGAATGTGCTCATATCTCATACATTGGGGTTTTTATATGTCATGACGACATTCCGCTACTTTTCAAGGCTGGGTGTTGGATAACAACGCAAAAAAGCAGTCAAAAACAAGTACCTATTTCGCCATGTTTAGCAAGTCACATACGTCACATTAATAAATCCCCTCTGGGTTTAAGAAATATCGCGTCAGGCCGTAAAAGCCACAGTCTGTCTCACAGCTTCATTACATCACCCCGCATGCCTCACGTCAATAAAATATTTGACCAGCATGTACGCCACCACACCACGGAGTACCCATTGTATACTGAATATATTATTGTAGTCTTATATTCCTCAAAAACAGCAATAAATGGTATGTTTTAGAAATCAGGTAAAAAAAACATGTTTTGCCACAAAATTTTTGAAATTAAAATGCATATTAATGTTATGTGCTACTCACTTATCTATATTAAAACTGTTCACCCTTCATCAAACTGCATAATAATTCCTCACAACACAAGGACTAATTCAGCAGACACTCGAAACATTGTCTACAACAACGTCCTTTAGAAAAATAATAACATGCTAACCATAACACTCACAACGATTGCCTCCTCAACTTCCCATAATATTCAACAATATACATCGCCACCTTTCCCCACTCATTCAACAACGTGCAGAGCACAGGTATATGCTAATTCTTAATAAATGTTGAAAAAATTGTGTTGAGAAAAATTAATTACAGATGGTTTTGACCTAAATGTTTATTACACTGAATTAATATGATTGTAGCTTGGTGGTAAACATAATGATTAATTTGAATGAATTGTGTTTAATTCAAATTAATGTATGTTACCTGCAGGTGCATCAGGAGAGGATAGAGGAAGAACTACATAAAGAGAACAAAGAATTTGAAGTCTCTCTACAGCAATATGAACAAGAGATACAGGAATTTTCCCAAAAAGTAGAGGAGGAAAAAAAAGTCTTTGATGAAGAACGTCATCTCCGAGAAGCCAAGAAAGAACAGCAGGAAAAGGAAGCAGCTACCCTTATCCAGTCAGTGTTTAGGTCATACAGGTAGGATAATCCTCCCAGACTGACTGGAATGTCTGACTTGAATGACTTTGGTTGAAGATGTGTTTCTATATTCAACTGCAACAGATGATGCATTTCATATACAGTAAATCAGAATTTCTTTGCATAGAAGTGTTGGTAGAAGAATGTTGGATCTCCAATTAGCTAGTCACTAATTTAATCCATTCCACTCCTTTGAACCATCCCATCATATAATGCCAACAATTTTTAAATGGAATCTGCTTCAAATAACATGCTAAAATTTGATTACTATGTTGTCAACATACTTTCAATTCTGTTTTTCTTTGAATGACATTTTTTTTATTAATTTTTTTATTATTCCTATCAGAACTAGAAAACCATACCTTAAACGTTTGCAAAAAATGCGAGAGGATTTGAAAGAGAAAAGAGAACAAGAAAGACAATGCGAGATTCTTGCCAATCGAAGGAAGGAAGAACAAAGAAAAAAGAAAGAAATCATGGAAAAGAAACGCAAACAGGAGGAAGAAAGGTAACTAAAATATTCCTGTCTTTGTATGCCATTTTGAAAAGTTATGAAGGATAACATTATGATAAAATGCTCTTTGAAAATTATAAACTGATCAGTTGCAGTTATTTTATATGTTACGTAATGTAATTGTATAAAAATTTATAATAGTATGTTTTTCCAAAAGTTGAAATTGAAAATTGAAATAATATAAGTTAATGTTTAAAATATAATTATTATTATTACCACGACTGATTCAACTAAGTATACAGATTTTAACAAGATCTTATAACCTTTTCATTGTGATATTAGAATAAGAAAGGAAGAACAACTAAAGAAAGAAGAGGAAGAAAGAAAGGAGAAGGAAAGAAAGAGACTGGAAAAAGAAGAGCAAGAAAGACTACAGGAAGAACAGCTTGAAAAAGAGCGAATGGAAAAGGAAAAACTAAAACGAGAAGAAGAGGAACGAGAAAGAATGGATCTAGAAAGAAAAGAAAAAGAAATCCTTGCAAAAATCCAAGCTGAGAAAGAAAAAATAGAACAAGAAAAGAAATTAATGAAAGAAAAAGTAAAGGAAGAGAAGGCAGAAGTCGAAATGCAATCAGTTATGAACCAAGAAATAGGCAGTAAAATTGAGCTGTCTGATGAACAAGTCAAAAAAGAAAAGAATAAAAGTAATTGTCCTTTAGAAGAAGCTTCCATAATCAAGGATAGCAATTCTGCTGATAAATGCATAGAAACTCTTATGCAGAATTTTATCAACAAAGATTTAACCAAAGAAGTTCATCAGGAGCCAGAAAACAAAAAGCCAGATAATGCTTCTTCACAAGATGAACTCCCCAGTGCCGTTCAAGGAGCACCTTCTTGTACAGACAATTCAGATAAGTCGCATAAAAATCTCTTTGAAGTAAATACCCCCAAGTCTGATGCTTCGGTAAATGAGGCTGCAGTCAAAGTTGTACCTGGTTTTACATTTTTGCCACCCCTGCCAGAGATCTTAGAAGCAAAAAGACTAAAGTGGATGCAAGATTGCATCCCTTTTAGGTATGTTTTTTAATGCCATTCTTAATTTATTTGTTTTGTCTGCATTGAATTGTTTACACAGCATTTATTGGTACAATATAAATATTTTAAAATCTCATAAAGCTAAGCTGTATAACATCTGTATGGTTGTAAACTACAAAGAGATGTGCTTTCATTGTTATGTAAAAGTGTCAGTTTTATCATATGAGAGATCTCATTCAATGAAATGTTCTCTCATAAAACTGTATCTCGCTTTGAACAAACTTACTACAATACAATACAAATATAATACATACTGGGGCAGATGCAAGATTTTGTGGTGTGGGGGTGTGTGAGAGTTGACACCAGCTCAGCCCCACCATGATTGGGGCTGAGGAGAGAAAATTTTGAGAATATGAACCTCTAGGTGCCTGGAAATTGCACTCTCTTATCTTAAAAATACCGGTACTAGGCCGATGTTCATATCAGCAATACAATACAAGAATTATTTTTCTTAATACAATTTAGGGTAGTGTGATCACACCATCTGCATCTGCCCCAGACATAACTTGAAGCTAAATTTGAAAGTGCAACCAAAATGAAGTAATGTACCAACTGAAAAACTTAGATATTGATTTACTATTTGATTACAATTTGTTAATATTACTTTTAATCAGTAAAATCCAAGGTCAGGTAAAGGTAGCTGATCAGAAGATAGTTCATCGTCAGAAGAGGCGGCCGACATCAGCAAAAAAACTGCAGCCTCTGACAAAAGAACTACTGCTGTCTGCATCTCCTCTGCAGACATCATTAGCTCAGGTGATTGGTTGTGTCAAGTGTGCCATATAAGTTTCATTTATTATAAAACATAGTAATGCTATTGTGTGTGATGTTCTGTAAGATCATTCTAAACACTAATAATTATATTGTTGAAGTATCTGTTAAAATATTATTAACATTGTTATTATTCTTGTTAATGTTGTTGTTGTTGTTTACATTACTTTTCTATTATGATTTAAATATTTTTATCATTTCATTATAATTAAAATGATTATCATCATTACAACAAGCCAACCATGAAAAGTTTAAATTTTACATTTCTGATAGGCTGAATTAATAGAAGTTCAAAAAGTTAATACTGAATGATGGTAGCAGTTGCAAATGTTATATTCATACTTTTTCTTCTCTAATTACCTAGGTAACAACTGTGAGACTAAGTGACCTTCCTGGTTGTAGTCTGACCTCTTTGGATCAATGTCATGACCTGATTGCTATGGAGATTCGTAACTGTAATCTTGTAGCACTTGAAGGTCTGGAAAACCTACCGAATGTGAAGTACATCGATGTTGAGGTAACGTATGTGTTTGAAGAATAATTAACACCTATGTGATACTGCTATTATGAACATGCCTCCACTTAGATTAGGTTATATATAATTTGATAGTTATTAACAAAAAATATCAAGCTACATTATTATAGACCCAGGTTTTAACTTTTGAAAGTCTTTAAATGGATAGGAAAAAGTGTTTGGTAAAATGTAAATGGTAGTGGATAGGAAAAAGTGTTTGGTAAAAAGTAAATGGTAGTGAATACATACTTTAATCTAGGTGACAATATGGCTATAACAAAACAACCTATCTCCTAATTGACTATTATTTACTTAAATGCATGTTTATTATGCTTGTTGTAGATGTTTGGTTTTCTTAATTCTAGAATAATAAAATTGAGTACATCAATTGCAAGGATAGGAAGAATCTAGCTAGTCTCAACCTCAGCTGCAATAACCTTACAGTAGTCCATGGATTAGAAGGGTGCTCTGAATTACGGAGACTAGATGCATCACATAATAAGATTGCAAAATTAGGTGAGTATTGAAGTTAACAGTATAGTGCCACTCAATCTTTATTGTAATATTCTTCCAACACTTATTATTCAGACAAAAAAAAATGGGTTTTTTTGCTTGATTTTTTTGAGCTGTCATCTCATTATATAACTTATGGAATTTATGGAAGTAGATGAATAATGCTGCTGGCTTGCAGTGATTAAGTCAGAACCCTGGCCCTGGGATTGAAAAACATCCTAAGACTTCGTATCCTGAGATTGGAAGGCAAGCATGTTAACCACCAACTATTGCATTTGAAAATATTGGTGCAGTACAGTATTTAGGTATGTATTTATTTATGTTTGGTAAACTAACTAAAAATCTGTATCTCAAAACACTATGATGGATTTTATTTAATTTAGGGTGTGTTGCCTCATTCTCCAACATGCAAGTGTTAAACATGAGTCATAACCAGTTGATGACATCACAAGGCCTGAGGTCATTAGCACTGCTTCAACATCTTGACCTCAGCAATAACCACCTGTCACAAGTCGATGGCTTAGAGAATTGTTGTCTGCTTCAAAAACTGAATCTCGCCAGCAATAACCTATCACAGGTTAGTACTACCAACAGCGTGTTATTCAAATTGCCGATTTTGTCTTAAAGCTCCATGATGTGGGTGTGTTCAGCATGCAACATGTTGCCTTGTCAGCTCTTATATTATAGTTGTTTATAATAAAGTAAAAGTAACCTATGGTATAAGTTTAGAAACTAGAAATTTTTTACTGGTTCTCAGAACCTGAATCAGGCCATCCTTAATGATGAATTGGGGAGATAGTCTCATGTTTTTTAAAAAAATGTGCTACTTTTTTTTAACATAATGCATATAGCCGTTGTTGTACATGGTACAAACAGCGTAAAAGTCCCTTCTATCACACTGTATGTGATAAATTTGTGTAATATGCTCAAATATGTGCATGATGATGTTATATTACACCCAGTGGCGGTGCCAGCGGGGGCAGGGAGGCTTAAGCCCCCCACCGGACAGGTCAAGCCCTCCTGCCGGACAGAGCTCGTTGGGCAGTCAGACCATAAAACATATAAAAATAGGTCCACACCAAGCCAACACATGTCTGTCACAGTCTGAGATTGCCATTTTCGGCCATCCAGAGGTTGATATTCTTTAACAAAATCTCATTTGGGAGGGGGAACCCTTCTCTCAACCCCTTCCTCCTGCTCGAGCCTACGAGCTCAAGTCCCCCTGTCGGACAACTTAGCCCCCCCAGAAAATATATCCTAGAGCCGCCACTGATTACAGCCAAAGATGGTGGGTTTTACCGTGTATTTAACAGACACAGAGCAGCTTTGTTATTCAATACACAAAGTAGTAGTAGTAGTAGTAGTCACCAGTTGTCATTAAAACTGTGCTGTTGTTCTACATGATTACAAATTCAGACAGAATACAGATTCCACATCAACCCGTTATATACTTTGCAATTATTTGTCATTTTCCTCTTCTTTGTTCTACTCATTTTTAGACAGTTCTCAGTAAAGTTATTGGCAATTAGTCTTTATTTTTTTCTGTTATAGATTCCACCTCTTCAGAATCATGTTTTACTTCAGGAAATTAATATGTGCAATAATAGTGTAAACCAAATGGATGCCTTGGTGGACTGTTGGCTGCCATCTCTACAGCATCTTAACCTATCAGACAATAGCTTAGAGGAAATAGCGCCATCCCTGCATGGCTTACCTTTCCTCCGCACTCTGGATATCAGGCACAACTTCATCTCAGGTACTCAGGTGTTTAAATAAATATTAAATAGTAACAATAAAATATAATGAACCAAATGTACCAGATCCCTCAAGAATATAAGTGCTACCAAGTGGTTATCCTTTCGGATAAGACCTAATTTCTTAATGGCAGTGGTAAAACAGATTATTCAGCTTTTTGTCAAGTATTTTTGTCCTAACTGACCCCAGCAGTGCCAGGTAAACAGTATCAAATTCGTATTCTTTGCAGAAATAGAAAAACTATCTGGTTTGGAGATCTTAAAGAAATTGGATCATTTACACATTGAAGGAAATGCAGTAAATGAAGAATCATCTTACAAGTAAGTGCTAGTATCCTTCCCCTCAAGAAGTCCCCCATTGATAATAGCAATACTACAGTATAAGAGAATACATATTGGCCTTAATCTGCATTTGAGCCAACACCTCCATCAGCTGTGGAAAACATATACATTCATTTTATTTATACTTTCAGATCATATGTTTTGTCACTGCTGCCATCGCTACAGTATTTAGATTCAGAGAAGATTGAGAGGGATGGTTTGATAAAGGATTGTGTTTCTCAGTTTGAGGCATCTTGCGAGTCACAGAGAAAGGCCCAGGAAATTCTTACTGGCAAATGGAAAAAGGATTTTGAGTGAGTATTTTGTTTGTATTCTTGCAGACATGATTACTAAAGATTTATACATTGTCGTGATGACATTGCATCACATCATGACCATATATAGGCACATCATGACCATATATAGGCACATCATGACTATATATTGGCGTACAAAAGTTTTCATGAAAGCAAATTTGATAGTGAGGACAGAGATTTAGGAAAGTGTTAGAATTAGAATGCCACTTTAATGCTGGCTTGCACTTCATTGTGCTCCGTCCCTATACCACTACCTCATCCAAGCACTTTTGCATTGTATACTTGTTTTGAATACTATGAACATTCATGAGCTATTTTATATTTACAGGCTATTGAAAAACCAAGGTGATTTGGTGAAGCTCGCAGACCTTGAGCAGACCCACCTGGAACAAATGGAGAAGATGATGAAGGAGCATCGCTATATGCATGAATATGGTGACACAACCATCATTGAACCTACACAAGTGGTAGACAGCCAGGTGACACCTAACCAGGTGGCAGCTAGCCAGGTGCCAGCTAACCAGGTAACAACTAGCCAGGTGCCAGCTAACAATGTGATCAACCCATCAAACATCACCCTTAAATCAGCAGAGATGAGAAATGTGAAGGTTGAGAAAAGTGACAGAAGGACTGGGGTGATCACTACTAAAGCTTTGGTACAACAAACACAAGGGAAAAGGTAGGAAAATAATAATGGTCATAATAATAATAATAATAATACTAGTTCAATCTTGACTTCGTGCATTTTGCTAAAAGCCTCAATGCGCTTTACATTAGAAATTAAAATTCGGTGTTAAGCAAAATATAAATTCAAGAGATGTGTTTTGATTAGTTGTTTAAATGTGTTGATGTTAGTTGCTTGTCGAATTTTGTTTGGCAAGTCATTCCAAAGGGAAACTGAGGCACAGAGAAATGACTGACATAAGACTGAGTTGAAGGGCAGACAGAGTGTGAGGAGGTTCCTATAGTGTATGTAGTGTCGGTTTTGGTGATGATAAAAATGGTTTGAAGGTTTGCATGGAGATGTAACAATTGTTCCATTACTGTTTAGGCACACAGACCAAGCTGCCACTTTGATCCAAGCTCATTGGCGTGGTTACTGTATCAGAAGAGACATACATGACCACACCAAGCAGTGGCTTGCAGCTGTTACTATACAGGCCTGCTGCAGAGGCTACCTGGCTAGGAAAAAAGTAAAAAACATGAGGGCATCAATTGGAAAACAGACAGGAGTTTACAATAATGCAAGGCACATGTCTGCTGCTACCACAATACAGGTGAATCTTCATTTACTGAAAAACAGAACCAAATCCTTTTTTTTTTTTCAAGCCCCTCTTTTTTTAAATATATCCAATCCAGAAAATCAGCAAAATTCGAACATCTTTATGCAGTGAGTATATCCATGTGTTCCAATTGGCGTGATGCTCTCAATAAATGTTTTTCTTGCAGGCTTGGTGGCGTGGTAACAAGACAAGACATTTCATGAGGAATGCTCGACAGCAAGCAGTGCAGGGGTTGGAAGATGATGAAGATTTCTTTGATCATGAGATTGACCTTTCATCATTTGATTACGTAGAGGTCAGTTCCATCAACTGTATTGTTTGATTTTATACTATAGGTTATTAAAGTAATAAATAAAACATGGTATAAATAGGTATGAAGTAAAATATTGTGTTCAAGGGTTTTTCCTTTCTACTTGTTTTTTTTCTTTGATACAGAGTGACTGGAGGCCATCAGATGAGCCTCGCCTACCTCAGAGCCATCCCGTTTTACCCTCTCAATACCATCCAAGTCCACCAAGTAAAGATCGACCACCTAGTAGGACCGTACGTCATGCTTGGAGGAACATCAATTCACCACAACAGTACAACACATCTACTGCAGATATTTTAGTCGTAGATCATACAAACACACCTAGGGAAACAGATACAGAGATGACCAAAGACACACCTAGGAATACACTCATGGGGAAGCCTCCCCTTCCCCCATTATCAAGTTTAAGTGGCAACACATTGAAAACAACCAGAAGCGAAAAGCAGGAGCAAATCTCAGAAGAATGGTGAGTGAAATTATTTTAGGAGACAATTGTATAAATTCATTTTATTGATTGATTGATTGATTGATTGATTGCTTGAATGATTGAATGCAAATCATTATGTTGTTTACTTTTAATATTTACCTTTTCTAAACATACTCATAATGTCCTACTATGAAATTCAATCATTTTAGGGGCTTTAGAGATGGAAATACAGCTGCTTTGATGATGAAAAGAGCTCAGAAAATGAGAGGAAAAAAGAAAATAAATGGTAAGCAAATATATTAAAAGAACTGCAGATGTCCTGTCAAGATGATCTCTAATCTCTAGAAAGTATTGTGGTGTCTCAGGATTTGAACCCAGGACATTTGCATTTGAAGGCAAACTTCTTAACCACCAACCTACAGTGCCACTCTTAAAACAATCAAGCTCTTATACTACATTTACAGGGGCCCAGTCCATTTTTTTATTTATTCAACTGGAATCAAAGTGTTGCCTTACTAGAGTTCAAAACTTGGTTTTGTTTTATGGTTTCAAATTCTGCAAACATTAGGATTTGTTATGAAATCTTAATAAAGTGTTTGAGCATTTGTATTTGTTCTTTAAGACCCAATGCAGAGGTTGAAGATGATGAAAAAATTACAAGATACTTCACGGCAGCAGCCCATTCAGGTATCAAAGAAAGGGATCCAGCGTAAGGAGTATTTCCAAGGTGAGATTTCTGGATAGTATATAATTGAAGAGTCTCTCATCCTCACCTCATCCCTCAATTGCTACTAGTTCAAATCCTAATTGAGACAACATAGAGTACCACAGTCGTGTCGTCACGACGCCAGGTGGTGCTCTCTGTCGTCAACAGATGTAGGTTACCGTTCATTGTGCCTGAATGACTTCATAGGCTTTCTGGAATAGGCATTTTAAAATCCAATATTTTACCATCAAAATGTACTAAAAACACAAAAGCTCGCATCTTAATAATTACGTTTGAAATTGGGATCAATGGTTTGTCAGTGAAGAAAATGTTGTCGGGTTGAACGCTTTTTGCAACGATAGCAACGGAGCAGTATCACGTGGTATCGTGACGTAACACTGTAGTACTCTATATCCACAAAAATATTTCATTATGCCCATATATGGACAAATTACAGATGTTTGTCTAAGAAGGATTTATAGATTTGACAGCATTAAGTTCCGTTGTATTAATTCAACCCTGTAATTGACAAGACTACCTGCTATTGGATGTCATTTAAATATTGTCAAACAAAATTTTTGCTGTGAATACAAGTAGAATTTTTGTTTACATAGTATACTTCTTCAGGTGAACATTTTTGCAGTGTTTACAATATTATTTTTTTATTCTTCCAAGTTCGGGCTGAAGAAAAGGAGCAAACATCTCGTAAACAAATTGAAGAAAAGAATCAAAGAACATTTGAGTGAGTATAGTACATCCTATTTATAAGCATGACAACATTTTTTCTCTAAACATAAAATTTAGACACCAATATTCAATCAATTTCTCATATAATTATTAATTTTAATGTTGTAACAAGTCAGATATGCCAATGTACAGTACTGCACATTGTTTTAATAATCCAATAATTTGTAATAAGCACCACTTAATTTTTATGTAAAATTTTCAATGAAATTATACTTTTTTTTTCTATTTAGGTGGCTACACTCTCAAGTAAATTCTCCAAATGATACAAAGTTGAACTCAAAAGGCATGAAGGAAAGGCATGCCTCAAGTGAACCCAGCCTTCCTAGAATGAGTCCTGATGTCTTACAAGGACGTGTACAATTAGTGGTAAGTTATTGGTCACTCTGCTGGTCGATGGTCAAGTGCACGGATGCAATAAGCATTAAATACAAAACAGTATCAAACATTGTTGACACTCTTAGAACAAAACAAGTGATCTATGTAGCTATGTAGCATTAAATACATAAATACTGTACCACTAAAATCTATATGTATGATCCTTATTGTAAATTCAATGTATTTTTTTATATGAATGCAATAAAGAGAAATTTGAATTTGAAATTCAACATGGAAATTTGGATTTTGGCCCATTGGGCCCTGCAGCAGCCACTGTGCAGCAGCGATGATGGACAGTACACTGAAAGACAATGCTCTACCCTTCTTTTTCATACACATGTGCTATCATGAACACACGACCAATGACTTAACATCCTATCCAAAAATTATGGGCAATTTGGAGCAAAGTGAATTGTTTAACGACACAAACAAGTAGATCTCCAGCACTGGCAGGCCTGAAACATGGTTAATCTCGCAACAAATTCCAGTCCCTTACTGCGCAGTGCTAAATTTTAGAGCTAAATTGTAGGAATGCAACTATGGGGAAGCATTTATTATAAGTTTTGTCAAAAACAACCACAACTCTACTTAGTACCAAACTATATATCTAGATTTATATGATTTGAATGATTTTTTTTAATAATTCGTTTTTCTAGGCAAGTCCCTCACTTGAACTGCAGTCTGTTGATAGTAGGAGCGTGGTGACAGCATCACCGCATCGTCATCGCAGCCATTCGTTTTCATCTCCTGATGGTGAGTTTATCTCAGGTCATATTTTTGTACAAATATTACCAAGATCTACTCCACAGCTACCATAAATTAACAAACCATCCCTCTTTAATTGGTTGATATGCGATAATTATTTTTGAGCTCCAGTGGTGGCATTAGAAAATACTACTCTACTGTATGTCTCTCATGCTGTTGTGAGAGAGATGCTAAATCTGACAGAATCTTTCAGTAAATATAAATATTACCTTGGTTGCCATCTCATTTATTCATTACTGTTTATCTTTCCAGGTGACAAGATTCAATTTTCAATGACCAAAACCAATTCAGCTCCAACTAACCATACCAGACTGCGGCTGGAAGCAAAGGCTAAACACAAAGGACATTAGAAATATTAATGTGCTCCTTAAACAGTACAATTATCACAATTTACATTTTTTAACTCTTTTTATGAGCTTTGTTGGAGATAGATGCTATGCAGCATTGGGTAGTAACTGAAGCTGTTTTGTCAACCACTGTTGATATTTTCTTGGTAATATAGAATATCAACAGAATCAAAGATTAAAAAGAAATAATTTGAGACCTACAAATAGATAAATAATAAGAATTAAATAGAGTAGACCAAAATTCAATAAGAAGGCAGTAAAATATGAAAAATGATATTCAGCAATGTAACAAATATAGTAATATTATAATACAAGATACAAGATACAAATTTCTTTATTGTCTAAATGAATAGAAATATCAGAACTCATGACTGCCAGTACAATACAAAATTAAATTATCATAAATACTTCAGATTGAAATCTCATACCGCAGCTGGGTAGAACAAGGAATTGTAACGGTCTGTGTGAGAATTCACCGTCTTAATTCTACCACTTCTAACAATTGCGGTGCCTTATCCCCTTTCCTGATATTTCCCATCCAGCCCAATACACAATAGCCTCAAATTCATCACATCACTGATGAGTAAAACGTTCTACAAATATCTTGCTTTACCACAATAAATATAGTATTAATATATTATATTAACAACCTTACTAACATAGGCTTAAAGCTCAGCACTAAACCCTCTCTGACCAATTTAAGACATTTTGAATCCACATCAACTATGTTGATCCACATCCACCACCAAATCTGATCATAAACTTGTTTAGATGGATCCTGTTTATTATTAAAATATATAAACAGATATAATATATTTATTTATAGTATTTAATTGAATGATGTCATGTCATGTTTTTTTATTATAAACAACCAGTTCAATGGTGGCACCAGGGGGGGAGGGGCAGGGGAATTTGTCCTCCCATCAGATAGGCCTCGACCCCCTGTCATCCGAATCCATGATGAGGTCGTCGGATCAAAAATAATAAAATAATAGTTTTGCTTGCCAATCCCTAATATTGGAGTCTAAAAGCACAATTTGGAGCATACTAGGCTATATAAACTCTCCCTGTGAAACCTTCCAGGGACTTTTTATTCCGGGACCCTACCAAGACTCTAGTCAACCCTTGGTTGCGACACCACATAGGACATGTCGGACCCTTTGTCGTTAAATTTCTGGAGTTATCACTGAACAGGTTTGCTGTGAATATTTGATTGTTGCTATGTATTTTGTTACTTGTAAGAAAATCACATAATTTTTATATACTTTGGTCTATCTATACTTCCATGAGAAGTATAATGTATTTTTACTGGCTAGTGATTTATTGCACACACATCTATTCTTGAATATTAACGATTAAAAAAATATTAAATCACAATAATGCCACGATGGTCTTTACGGTTTGTCTGTGTGAGTGACTTTTCTGGGAGTAATCAATCAACCATCATAATTAATCAATGCGTTATACAAATAAGTTGTGCCCCCAGGATTTGCTTGACTGGAGATTCGATGTCTCCGAGAGTGAAGTGGGTGTGGTCGGGCTTCGTTCAGGAAATAATGGCTCTTTCGGCTTCTATTTCCTATAGTGTACTCAATACTATTTTCTATGTCCTTTTATATTAAAACTGTTGGTTGTAGATTGTTACTTTAGACAGGCCAAGTCTCCCGGAACTTGTGGGAGTCTCCTGAAATCGGGACAACCTTCCGTACTCTCAGAAGCAAGCAAAAATCTCCAAGAAATAACCGATTTCCCGCCAATTCATAAAATTTACAGTTTGCATGTTTTCAATGTTTTATTATCAATTGTCTCATGGAAGTCAGTGCCGATAGGTATCACTGTGTGTGCAGTAATAAAATTCAAAGTGTGAACCATTATTTTTTTATATTTAAAACATCTTTAGGCAGGATAACATATACAGGCGAGATCTTACCACTGTTTTACAATATGGTCCTACAAAAACAACACAACAGTACAATAACAACAACGAAAAGTAACCAGCCCAGTACAATAAAATAAACAATAGTAAAAACTTTGGTGTAAAACCATCCCCGCCGGACACCAACTCGATACTTCTGAGTCAAGGTTTCGGGGCCAGGAATTACTGCTCAAGGTTAAGCTTAACTACATAACTTAACTACAATATGGTAAAAACTATCCCCCGCCGAACACCAACCCGGTATTTCTGAGTCTAGGTTTCCGGGCCGGGATTACAAGGTAGGACAAATTCTGTACATTACTTAAATAGATAAAAATGGTAGAAACTATCCCCCGCCGAACACCATCCCGGCATTTCTGAGTCAAGGTTTCGGGGCTGGGATCACAAATTTTATCTTAACCACAAATCTAGCTAAACAATGGTAAAAACTATCCCCCACCGGACACCATCCCGGTACTTCTGAGTCAAAGTTTCGGGACCGGGATTAAATGTTAAAAATATAGACCAAGAAAATATAAAAGGAAATGAATTGTCATAATCAGAAAAAGTGTTTCTTATAAGTAATTTTGAACAAATTAAGAGATTGATATTCTTGAATTCTGATTGGGATTTTGTTCCAGACTTTTGCTCTAGAGATTTTTAAAAAGAGCCATTCATTACAGAACAATTTTGAATTGGGGGGATAACGTTAAGCGAGTGAGCGTATCTCGTAGAATATCCATGTCGGTCAACAACCTTTTCTATATCATTACATAAGCGGGAAGGTGCAACACCATTTATACATTTGTAACCATTATGCCTTTGTACAACAGTCTAGGAATTCATTCATGTTAACCAGTGCCATAGAGCGATATTTTTTAGATTCGCTCTGCACGTTCATAGCTTGGCCTGGCAACAAAATATTCCATCGCAATGTTCGGTAGTAAAATCACCCCTGCTTCGAGCTTTTTTGCACACGGGACGCAAAAAATCGGAGTCAGTGCAAATAAAAGCGATGATGTCACCATCGGAGTTATAATCGACTTTATAGTTTACTAATATGCAAAAAATACATTTTTTTTCTCCCCGACGGCGGGGGTGGGGGTGGAGAAAAGGAGAACTCTCCCCATGGGGCCCTCACCGCCGCTAGCGCCACTCCTGTTACAACCACAGCCATTTCCATTTCCATTATCATTATCATTGTTATTACTATCATAACTTTTTGTTAGTAAATCTAATTTTCCTTATTTTTATCCTATCCCTTTCCATTTCTAAGCGTTTTCGTCAATTCCCATGCTTAGATCTTTATAAAGCTTGGTCCAAACAAACCCTATAGCAAAGATGTGCCTACTTAAATATTAAGAAATTGTACATATTTTATATTGATAAATTATTAACTATAGTATCAGGTTAAGATATTTAACTCCATTTGCGTAATTGTTTTAAACGTGTCCGTAGTTACAAAAGGTTATACTCAAATTTGCAAGAATCTTTGTGCTCAAAAAAATACGAACATAAATTTTAAAAAAAACCCATCTGAAAATTTGGTAATGGTTATTTAATCAACAATATCTTGGATAGCCGCTTAGGTAGCAGATTTCGTGTCTTGATTTGATTGTTAATGTAAAATGAGAAATAAGTACCTTCAAAATAAAACAATATATTTTAACTAAATCTAAAACAATAACACTAATTTCAATTTGCGAATCAGCCAAAATGATTTTGATTACAATGACTTTAACTAGGATATAGTCAGAGCGAATGACCTTTCTTCAGACCTTTCTCTCTTTTGGAACTCATATGTGAAAATGTTTGACGGCGGCAAGAAAGAAAGTACCAGGCATCGCGGAACATAGTCTTTCTAAACTTTATCCAATTGCACTTTATCGATAATAGTTACTCTATGAACGCTAAAGCATTAACCGATACTATTTTTATCTAAGATTCTAAGGGGTCATCCATAATTTTCAACAGAGTACAAAACATACTTTTTTCTGTGACCCCTCCCTCCCCCTGAAAGAGTACGCAAAAAAATGTTGATTTGTATCTTATTGGGATCAACATTTTATCTTTTTCATGAAAGAGTACTTATGCCTACACTTTCTACCCCCCCCCAAAAAAAAACGTATGTTTTGTACTCTTTTGAAAATGTTGATAATTATGGATGACCCCTAAGCAAAATTTTAAAAAATTGGTTTTCCTTTTATTACTCTATATTGTTTTCCACAATTTTAATTCACAACAAATGAAAAAATCCAGGAAAATTACTAAAGAAAAAAAAATGGCATAACTTAATAAACGGAAAAGGATTTGTGACTGGTTTTGCGAGAACCAAACAGCACACTCCACAGCACGAAACCTCCTAGGACAAGCAAGGTGCTTTTTAAGGAGTATTTAACTCAAGACTCAAGATTAAATATTTGGTCAACTCTTTTTGTTTAGTGAGTTTCGTAGTCTTAGTAACCATGCGTTCTCATGTAACACCAGAGCGGTTGATATTGATAATTATATGATACCTACTGTTTGTTAGTACTGTACCCAGTTTTGAGAGTCTGGATGAATAACACTACAATAATATTGCTTTTGGTGTGTGTGGGGAAGGTATGACGAGTATGATTCTGTGACGGATTCTAAAATAATGGCTTGATCTCTGCTTTATGATGGCTCGTAAAGAAATATTAAAGCTACGTTTCAATCAAGACCATGGTAAATTTGAAATTGCTGTTAATATATAAATTAGATTATTAAGAGGAACGTACCTACAACTACGTTTGTATATATATAGATGTAGGCCTAGCCCTAGACAGCCAGTCCTTGGTGGTGCTAGGTGGCTTGTGTCCCCGCTGTTGAGCCAGATGTGATTAATCGATTGCAACAAAATGTAGGCCTAGCTAAAGCCTAGAGAATGAATCTGGTGGTTGGCCTATCCACTAAGCTGGCCCGACCAGATTTCGCCAAAAACGAATTTCTTGAGACAGAATATTACTATTAGCAACACCTTAGGCTGGGTGCAGGTCAACTCGGCCACAAGTCAACTCGGCCACAAGTCAACTCGGCCACAGGTTATTTATAATTAAAATGAAATGTAAATACGGTATTACAGTTTCTGCATCCTTTTTCTTCATGATTAAAATGAAGTACACAGTATATTTTAGTAAAATTCTGATCATCGTCACATCGTCGTGAGATCGCTGTATACATTTCTTCACATTGTACTCTTATTCAACAGAGAAAACCCGCCACTTACAGAATGGAATAAAATCTGACAATTGTAACATTAACAATTTAAGCAATCTTAATAATTAAGAAAAACACATATATTAATGTTTAATTTTGTTCACGTTAAAACACTGACATAAAACATGAGTACATACTGTAGACCTAATCATAAAAAATTGAAATAGAAAAACCACATTATGATTTTTTAAATGTTAAAAATTTATTTTGAATCCAACTAAAATCAAATGAATGCATGATGGCGTGCATTTCGATACTGTTTTCTTCAGAACCATGCCCAAGAATTAGGCCTACGTTAAAATTAGGTGGGGTGCAGCATCTGATATCAACTATCCACAATAGGAACAATTGGTATTGTTGAGTGACAGACTTCAGTCCTTCATATTTGCTCGACCATTGGGAGATATGTTTGAAACCCGTCAGTGACAAGGATGCATCCAATGACGTGATTCACCAGTGACATGTCGGTCCTTTTCAAATATTTACTTTAATAATACTAATTAGTCATAATAATGATAATAAAGGTGATAACAACAACAATA